ATCAGAGGGAGCTCCTAGCAGTCCAGTGAGCACTGTATGTCTTTCAAGCAGATCTTATAGACCGCCACCTGCAGATCTGTTCGGACAATATGACTATGGTGGCATACATCGACAAACTGGGTACAAGAAGTCCTCCTCTCCAAGCGATCGCGGACAGCATACTGTCTTGTGCCGAGCAAAACCTGTGTTCGATATCTGCCATCCATCTGAAGGGGGCGCAGAATTCCCTAGCGGACTTCCTAAGTTGGCATCCAGTCTAACACGAGGAATGGTCTCTCAACCAGGAAGTGTTTGTGACCATCGCTATGAGATGGGGCATGCCGGAGGCAGATCTTTGCTTCCCAGGAAAACAAGACGGTCAGCCCGTCCTTCACCCTGAATCCGTGTGTGATTGGGCCTTGGGGATAGATGTCCTCGCAAACGTGTGGCAATTCAATCTCTGTTATACATTCCCTCCAGTGAGGCTGATCTCAGCAGTCCTGCAAAAATTTTTGTTGGAAAGGAAAAACCTCATACTTGTGGCCCCATTTTGGCCAAAGAGACCATGGTTCTCTGCTGTGGAGCCTTGCCTCAGTTCCCCTGTTTCCTGTCCCGGAGAGGGAGGATCTGGTCTCTCAAGGTTCAGTACTGCACCCTTAGGTAAAAACGTTAAAGTTGGCGGTGTGGCTACTGATGAACAACTTCTGAAAGCTCAGGGGTTTTCGGACAGGGTAGTGAGGTGAACGGCCGCAAGCTAGTAACCAGACCTATTTATTCTAAGGTCTGGAATAAATTCAACTCCTGGTTGACAGATAAGGGTTGGAGCCCTTTGGATATCCCGGCAGTCTTATTTCTTCCAGGATGGGGCAGATCAGGGCCTTTCAGTTAGTACCTTAAAGGTGTAGGCCTCGGTCCTTTCGTGTTTTCTTTCAGGTCCCCCTCCAGCAGGATCCCTTTGTAGCAGATTTTTTTAGGTCCCTTTCCAAGTCCAGGCCAGCGGTGGTCAGGTCCTGTCCAGTTTGGGATCTGTATTTGGTCCTTAATGCTTTGGTCCTTTTGTCCCTTTTGAACCTCTGGAGAAGTCCTCAATAAAGTTTTTTGTTTTTTTTTTAAACTTTAAAATCACATCAGCCCATAGGGTTAATGAATTGCAGGTGTTTTCCATCAGGGAGCCCTTTTTGTCAGTTTTTGAGGATAGAATTGTTCTCAAGATGGATACTGGGTTTGTTCCCAATGTGTCCTCCTCCTTTCATAGGTCCCAACATAAAATATTGCCAACCTTCTGTTCTGCTCCCGCAAGCAGGGAGGAAGAAAGATTACGTTTGTTGGATGTTAGAAGGAGCCTTTTGGCCTATCTTAGTAGATCCAGGGAATTCAGAAAATCAGATTTTCTATTTGTTCTTTTCGCGGGAGCGCAGAAAGGTTGCATTGCTTTAAATCCACCATAGCTCGATGGATTAGGATGGCTATCGCAGAATCATATAAGTTATTGGAGATTCCGCTCTCGTTTGTTAATGTGCACTCATCAGATCCTTGTCAGCATCCTGGGCAGAGAGAGCCGGTGCCTTACCAGAACACATTTGTAAGGCGGCCACCTGGTCCAGTTTCTCTACCTTTGTGAAGCATTATTGCCTGGTTCTCTTTTCGAGTGAAGATCTGGCGTTTTGGGTGCAAAGTCCTTCAGGCGGTAGCCCAGCCCTAGGGGGTAAATTTCTTGATTTTTTTTTTTTTGTCTTAAGAGGTTGTCCTGGAAGACGTTTTTGGAAAACCAGAGTTAGACTTACCGGTAACTCATTTTTTATAAGTCTTCCAGGACAGCCGGGATTTCCCACACTAAGTATTGTACGGTAATAAATGGTTATGTCTTTTAGTACCTTCCTGTGGTTCTTGAGAAAACTGAAGAGGGAGGCCTGGAGGTCCGCCTTTTTAAGGTTCTCGGCTTACGTGTTTCCTGTCCCGGTGGGCCATTTTTTGCGATATGGCGCTGCGTTATTTTAACTGACAATTGCGCAGTCTTTCAACACTGCACCCAAATTAAATTGATGTTCTTTATTTTCCCCCACAAATAGAGCTTAATTTTTGGTGCTATTTGATCGCCTGTGTGTTTTTTTTATTTTTTTGCGCTATAAACAAAGACCGACAATTTTTACAAACAATATTTTTTATTTTTTGCTATTAAACATGTCCAGTAAAAAAAATTTCAAAAAATCAAATTTTGACATAAATGTAGGCCAATATGTACAATCCCAATACATGTAAATTAATTGGTTTACGTGAAGTCATAGCGTTTAGAAATGGTGGTATAGATACTGGAATTTTTTAACTGGTAATGGCGGCTATCAGCGACTTATAGCGGGACTGCGGCGGACATTCTGACACTTGGGGGAACTGACTTGTCACTGACATCCCCAGTGACACTATTACAGTGATCAGTGCTAATAAAAAGCACTGACACTGTACTAATGGCACTGGGCAGAAGGGGTTAACGTGGGGTGATCAAAGGGTTATTGTGTGCTGTTTCACAGTATTCTGTGTGAGTGCTTTCCACTCTAAGCACACTGCTTTGTATTGCTCTGCTATGCAAAGCAGCGTGTAGGAGCTGACGGGAGAGATCTGTATTGTTTATACACAGGTCTCTTCCCCCATCAGAGATACTCGGTGGTCACCGGGTGCTGTCGAGTAATCGCTGGCTGGGACCTGATGATTGACAGCTGAGGCTGCGAATGGCGAAGCGTGTGTGCCCCCTACCGGAACTGCAAAATCACGTGTGTGTTATATACGTGATTTTGCACACCCGTGCCACCCTGTAGCCGTATTTCTGCTATAGGGCGGTGCAGAACCGGTTAAACAAACTGAAATCATAAGATGATTGGCTGCCATGCACAGCTTTCTGAGCACTCTAGTTTTTAGTAAAGCAACCTCAGTCTCATTTTTAAAATTTTAAAAACATTATGCAGATTATATTAAATTTTAGTGTGTTTTTTTTTAATGAAAATGTAGATTTACAGTTGACAAGTAATGCAAAATTCTTTTTTTGTTTCATACTGTATGTACTATGCTTTCAGAAAATATACTTGGGGGAGGGGGGAGGTTATTTTTTTTACAGCGAAAAATGTATATTAAAGTATATTTTTTACATTGTCGAGCGTCATTAAAGGCAGTCAGAGGTTTCATTCGTCACTTCTACAGTGTACAGTTGATGTTGGACTTTTGTCTGATACTCTGTTCATCTCTGCTGGTATGGCTTGAGGAGCTCAAGAGCTATAACAGGAGAGGAAGATGGCGTTTCCATAGCTCAATGTTTATGATTATACACTTCTGCTATGCTATATAAATTAGTCCACTCTACTTTCATTTACATAATCATTAGTTTTAGTTTACTCAAAATCGTGATCCAAATGGTATTTCTCTGCCTTGATGTGCCATTTATGATAATATACTGACCCACTGGCTTCATTATGTCAGAGTTACAGACCTGAGAAGTGTGAAATGTGAGATCAAAAAGCCACCAGTTAGAAATACTTACTGGTATGCTTAGTGGCCCAAATAATTGAATCCAGAGGGTCAGCATGGACATATTTTTTGGCTGATTTAGTAAGAATTGAGAATCTTTACACAGTAAATTTGAATATCATAAAATGTGAAGTTTAACCACTTGGCAACCGCCCTACTGCAAATATACTGCAGCAGCGCAGCCTTACTGCACCAGATCACGTAACATGTACGTGATCTGGCTTTTCCGGGTGGGGGCACACGCCGGCTGCCCCAGCTGTGCTGTCATTCAGTACAGCAAAAGCAATCAGCAGATCCCGGCCATTGATTTTTGGCCATGCTGTCTGCCTTAGTAAACACAGGGCTCTGACCTGTCATTTGTTAACAACACAGGGCTCTAAACAGAGAACAGAGATGTGTCTGTTTTTGTGGGGGGGGGGGTTTTCCCTGCAAAGCAAAGGGAATAAAAACCAATCTTAGTAAAAAAAAAAAGTATGCAAATTTGCTAACACAGTTAGGCACACAGTTAATTCAATTGCCTCCAGATGTTAACCCCTTCCCATCCAGTGTTATTTTTACAGTATTTGATCCTGTATTAGTCATGGAGATGAGTCAGTTCCCAAATTGTCAGATTGCCCACCATACTATCACAGTTCCATTATAAGGAATTTGCTGATTGCTGCCATCACTAGTATAAAAACATTTTATAAATTCCAGTATATATTGCCATAGTTTTTAGACACTATAACTTTCATACAAACTGATATACGTTTGGGATTTTTTTTTTTTTGTAGCAGAATACATTTTGGCCTAAATTTTGTGAATAAATAAAATGTAATTAATTTTTTGATTATTATTATATTATTATTAGACCTGTTTATAGCAGAAAGTAGAATATGTGTGTGTATATATTATATATATATATATATATATATATATATATATATATATAATATATAAAAAATGTTCGGTCTTTTCATTTATATAATAAAACATTTTTAAAAACCTAGTGGTGATCAAACACCACCAAAAGAAAGCTCTATTGGTGCCAAAAAATATATACATTTCATGTGGGGGTACAGTATTGTGGTGACTGTGCAATAACCAGTTAAAGTAGCACAGTGGCCGAATAGCAAAAAAAAAAAAAAAAAATTGAATGGCCTGGTCATGAAGAGGGTAATTTTTTCCAGGGCTGCAGTGGTTAAATAAGTAAACACAGGAATTTGCTTTCTATGTGAAATGTAAGTGAATATTACACAATTTTTATTGTGTGAAGTTCTCAACACCTTTTAGTAAATCAGCCTCGTGCTCCGGAATTTGAACCTCAGGTTTTCACTTAAATTTGCAATTTGGGGAAATCTAAATTTACTGAAGTTATAAATGACTGAAAAGGTACATATATTTATACTGCCATCATCCAAAAATTGTTGAATGGTTGGTGTCATTGGTAGTTTGCTTACTTTCTGAATAATAACAATTCTGTGGTTATTTGTAAATGTAAAATCATTTTTTATTTTGATGTCTTACAGCAACATTATTCCTTCCTTTGTACTCATGGATATCCAGGCATCAACAGTAGTCACCTACGTGTACCAGCTAATTGGGGATGATGTAAAAGTAGAGAGAATCGAGTACAAGAAGTCCTGAAATAAATTTTGACATTTTATGGCCTTTTTACTTTTCATTCCCATTTATTATTAAATCAGTCTTCACCTCTAACCAGTTTATCATAAGCCTTGTATTCCTACTTGCATTGTAAGATTATTTTTCATTCTTTGCTGCTGTAGTTTTAATGTAAACAATATTATGATTGATTTAGTTTACATGTCATGAAATAAGTGTGCCACATAAAAAAAAAACTCTGTAAAAAGAAAAACATTTGTAAATATAACACTTAATGTTACCAGCCACTGATATGTTACCATACAAAATGCAAATTAAAATGGAAAACCTTGCTATGTCTTCAGCTATAGTCCTATAATGTCTCCTAATGCAGTGTTTCTTGTGAATTAATTACTTATGTATGGAGAACATATTAGATACACAGAACAACATGCAAATGTTGGCTCATTATAGCATTTTGGCTTTAAAGGATTTTTATGAAAAGTGACATTAATCGATATCTTTATGCTCCAAAAATAATCCATACACATCTACTATTAATGGGCTAGAATTCTAAAAAGAAAATCCATACACATTCACTCTTATTGCCCTGCTACTCTAATTTTCGCTAAATCATTTCTTGTGTGTTTTTTTTGCCTTCCTGTAACATCTTCCATGAGCACCCAGACTTCTACTTTCCCCCTTCGCTTCCTTTTGTTTGAAATGAGTTGTGCCCATGTGCACTGTCTATGCACACTACATATCCTGTAGTCCATCTTGGAAGTGAGCAAGAGAGGGTGGCCACATGCCAACATACAGTAGGGTCATGAAAAATGAATTTAGCCATCCTCTAACAGGAAATCAGATCACGGCACAAAAAAAAAAAAAACAAAAACGGAATTTGAAGGAGGCCAAGAGCAGTAGCAGGTAATTAGCTATAAAGTCTATCAAAATGGTAGCCATGTAGCTCCCTTCACCCAAGGACCTCTGATGAACTTATTCTGTATAAACTTTTCAGTACGAACAAAGACTAAGAGAGAGAAAGAAAGGAAAACAAGGAAGGACAGAGAGAAAAAGAAGCAGGTACTTTTTTGAGTTAATGTCACTTTAACATTTTGCAATAAGAATGGTCAGTTTATAAGAACGCACATCTTCCTTTCACATAATATATAAATCTCTCTGCTTTAGATACGTATGCATTTAACACACATGCTTTTCCACCAAAATCAATGAAAATGCATGTCAATACACAGTGCACATGAGCTGCAACACATCGTAAAATGCATTGATGTGCAATGCATAGTGGATTGCAATGTGTGTTTCCGTATACTGTGTATATAAATGGAGAGCTGTGAGCTTTCAATTGCATAACCAATATGCTACACTTCCTTATAGGCAGAGGGAGCAAAGAAACCAGTTTTTTTTTTTTCTCTGAGAATAGGTGCTGGAACTCAACTATGTCCACTCCAGAACCTCATCAGATGGTGAGTGTGGCCAAACTGCACAGTGGGAAGGACTTAAAGGGGCATTAAATACCAGGAGTGCTTTATGTACACAGTGCAGTGTTCAGGAGTGTGCTATGCACAGAGTGCAGGGTTCAGGCCTGGGTTAAGTACAGAGTGCAGAGTTTAGAGTTGTGCCACATCTCACTTCCACCCCTCTTAGCTCTGACCTCTGCACAAACCCACCTCCATTAAAATCACCATCTTCCATGTGTCTTAACTTCGCAAAAAGCACCCTGCCTGGCTGTAATACCTCCTCGCACACTGTATGTGGAGATCATCCAGCAGAAGCGTTGGCATTTGGGCACCAGTAAATAGAGATCACAGAGGATGCAATCCTCCATGCGACACCCCTCCTCCTGCCCATGACCACACTGCACCTGGGGAACCTGTATCTCCTTTGTCTCCACTCTGAATGCAGTGTGGGAGCTGCTGGGAGAGGTAAACTGTCACTTACACATACAGTAGGTTGGGATTATGTTTACAAGTGACAATGGTGAGAGGGGAGCAGAGGTGGAAGAATGGGGTTCCGCAATGTTCTGAATGCAAAAAAAGCCCTGGCTGAAACCATACTATCCCATTCTAGAACCAGTAACTTGCACAAATTTATAGACAAGGCATTCTGAAATAAATACAACGTCATCCAAAATGAAACTGGCAAAATGATTTTATTTGTGCACACGAATACATTCAGATTGTCATTAGCAACAGTTTGTACATAGAGGCTTTCACTTTAAAGCGTTGTACATCAGTGCCTAATAGGAGTGATCAGTCTACAAGATTTAATCAAGTAACTAAATTCTGTTACGTTCTGCACGTGAGAGCGTTGAAAATGCAGCTCTTTCCTGTGAATGGCTTCCCATTTAGAAAAATATCAAAGCAGCATAAAGCAAGATAGCACAAATTATCGGGTGCCCACAAACACATAGTCCTGGTGAGGCAAATATTACTACAGCTACTTGACAGTCATCAATACCAGCAACTAATAGGCTTGTTTAAAAGTGCCCAGTTTCACATACAGTAACCACAATTATTAATTCATCAATGATATTATTACAAAACATATACTTGTGCTATAAAGTTTGTCCTGTATTCGGCATTTTCACTTGCCATCATTCACTGAAAGTGATTCAATCCATTGGCTAGTGGTTTCTTCAATGGTCAGTGCAGTTATAGTAGTGGCCTGCTGTGTGTCTGCAAGAAAAATAATACATTTTACTGAAATCTCTGCAAGAAGACTTTGGACTCCCCTTCTTGGGATGAGTTGAGAAAAAACCTGAACTGTACGAGTATGAAGTCTATCTCTGCTGACCTCTCCTTTTATAAACGTTTGTTGCCTGGCTATCATGGGGATATAATGTCTTCAGTACTTTAAGCCGATATCTGGAACAAGTATGCAAATCAGGAGTTCTGACTTCAAACGGACTTGCTTATCCCCATACTTGTTCTGTCCAAGACTTAAAGTACAACAAAAGGCAAAACTTTTTCTTTTTCATTTTTGGTAAAGTAAGGGTTATAACCCCTGTCCGTTATTTTCTTATATGTGTTTACTTTTGGGGGGATTTCTCTTCATTTCCTGTCCCACAGCCAAAACAGGAAGTTAGAGGAAATGCCTCCAAAGTGAGTGTTTCTTGGTTGTCACCAAGATCACCAGAACTAGTGTCCCAATTTGAAGATTCCTCTTCAATTCTTCTTCTGGTGACAACCCAAAATTTGGAATTTTCTTTAATGGTCACACTCGGTCATACGATTAACAGGACAAACAGAGAGGGTGAATCTCTCTAATAGGGACACAGACAGCAATAAAAACCTGACAGGTGCCCTAATCTCTCTCTACTCTATCCACACCAGAAAATGTTTACTTTATTTACTATATACTTTTAGGTATGGTTCACACTATGCCCTCATTGTGCGTTCCTGTGCAATTCATCTGCAGCTCTGTACGGTGCAATTTTAAGCCCATTCATTTGAATGGGGTGAAATCGCACCGCACCAAAAGTAGTGCATGCGCTACTTTTTGAAACGCACAGCAACCACATCGCATGGCACTTTTTACCATACGATTTAGTGCATTTGCATCCTGCGTTTGGCAGTGATTATCTTTTAACTGACCCCCATAGCAGATCGCAAGGGCATTGCAATCAGAATGCGGTGCGAAAGCCGCATGGGACTGTTGCTCATTCTAGTGTGAACGAGCCCTTAAAGCGGAGTTCCACTCACCGGTCAAAAAAGAAAAGTCAGCAGCTACAAAAACTGTAGCTGCTGACTTTTAAAAAACAGTCACTTACTGGTCCCTCGGTGTGTCCCCTGCAGCTCGTTTCACCGGCCGTCCTGGATTCCAGGAGGCCGGCATCTTCAGTGTGGGCACCAGCCTGTGACAGCTTGTGGCTTCACAGCCGGGTACCTGCTGCGCATGCGCGAGTAGCGCTGCGCTTCATGAATGGTCCTGTAGTCTTCTGGGACCTGTTACATGTCCCAAAAGTCTACAGCGTGGGAGGGAGGACACCTGCTTCCGATCGCCTAGGCGATCGGACCAGAAGTGAGAGTGGGTATCTGTCAAAATCGGGTACCCGCTACCCCCCCCCCCACCCCCCAAAGGTGCCAATCCTTAATGGGGAGCACCCCTAAAGCGGAAATTCCCCTTTAAGGACTGCTCCTCAGCCCTGCAACAAGCATTTTCAGGAGAACTGCTATGGTAGTCTTCCCATATTTCTTAGTAAAGATACAGATTTCATAAAATATAATTTAATATGTGACGATTCCTTGTGAAAGGCAAAGGTGAGTTCTGAATGTCAATTCAAATCAGGTGGTTTTCATTAGATGCCACACATCAGCAGAGGGATCTATTTGGAGGTGAAACTACTTGTAAAAATACAAGATGACTACCCAGTTTAATTTATGATTTTCAATAATATATAGCCCTTCCAATAAGAGGACATATTGCCCTTACTAATAGAATGCTTACTACTGGCTTGACCTTTGCCATGTGTGAAAACGATAAGATGCACTTCCCAAAGCTTTCACATTTTTAATTCTACCAGAAATATTTGCTATATCATTCCAACCTGATATTTTGAGGTGTGTGGATACTTTAATAAATAACATCCCAGATAGAGGAGCTGCTACACCACATTAAATTAAACTATGTATTTACATTGATTGGACACACAGAAAAAGCACCTTCTATGACTGGTTCTTCCATTCCAGAAATGTTATCTTCTTTTTCAGCAGTGCATGATTTACTTTTGGTTTCACAATAGTTCTTTTGTGACCTAACGGGAAATAAGAAATTAGAACTTTTGCATATACGGTTTATGCAAATTAAATCAATCAGGTATGTATCCAATGCAGTGATTTTGGATAACCAATTCATCTCTAGGATGACTGTAAATACACACTATCAGCTAAAAAAATTTAACCAATAAGAGCAAAAAAAGACGTTGGTACTGTGGTTTTCTCTGTATTGAGTGGCCACTGGACATGCACTGAACATTATGTATACATAACCTGCAGTGAAAAGGAAGTTACCTCCAGGACCTAATCTTGGGCAAAGCAAGAAAAAAGATCTTCATCAGGTCTAGTACAGCTAAACATTTTTAGTGTTTTATGGCCACCAGTTGCAGATAGTACATAGCTCAATGCAATGATCTTTGGGTGCTGCAGATTGGACTAAATCAGCTTTTCTCAACCAGGGTGCCTTGGCAAAATATCAGAAAATTTCCCAAAACTTGGATCCATGCCAGCGGGTGGAACAAGCCTGCCTTTTAGTTACACAAAGTCACAGGTTTTCATTGTGCACCATTACGACCTTCTAGCTGTCAGCGTCCTGACAATGACTTCATCAGTTGATATGGAGGATGTCAGCTGCCTCACAGCATCCTAGTTTGATTAGAATTAGCTCAGTGATAGAGAAAAACTAGGAGGGAGAAGAGAAACACTAGAATACTAGTCAGTACCAGTGTGCAAAAGTACTGTATTTGCCGGCGTATAAGACGACCCCCTACTTTTCCTGCTAAAATGTAGTGTTTGGGCTATACTCGCCGTATAAGACTACCCTTCTTCCAATGCACACCAGTGGGAGGAATAGTGCCCCATCATCAGTGTCAGTGGGAGGAATAGTGCCCCATCATTGGCATTATTGTTAGTGGCAGGAATAGTGCCCCATCATTGGTGTCAGTGGGAGGAATAGTGCCCCATCATTGGTGTCAGTGGGAGGAATAGTGCCCCATCATCGGTGTCAGTGGGAGGAATAGTGCCCCATCATCGGTGTCAGTGGGAGGAATAGTGCCCCATCATTGGTATTAGTGGCAGGAATAGTGCCCCATCATTAGTATCAGTGGGGGAATAGTGTCCCATCATTAGTATCAGTGGGGGGAATAGGTGCCCCATCATTGGTATCAGTGGCAGGAATAGTGCTCCATCATTGGTGTCAGTGGGAGGAATAGTGCCCCATCATTGGTATCAGTGGCAGGAATAGTGCCCCATCATTAGTATCAGTGGGGGGAATAGTGCCCCATCATTGGTATCAGTGGCAGGAATAGTGCCCTGTCAGTGGGAGGAATAGTGCCCCATCATTGGTATCAGTGGGAGGAATAGTGCCCCATCATTGGTATCAGTGGCAGGAATAGTGCCCCATCATTAATATCAGTGGGGGGAATAGTGCCCCATCATTGGTGTCAGTGGGAGGAATGGTGTCCCATCATTGGTGTCAGTGGGGGGTGGAATAGTGCCCCATCATTGGTGGGGGGGGGGGAAATAGTGCAGTGGGGGGGGGGGAATAGTGCCCCCTCATTGGTGTCAGTGGGGGGGGGGGGAATAGTGCCCCATCGTTGGTGTCAGTGGGGGGGGAGGAATAGTGCCCCATCGTTGATGTCAGTAGGAGGAAGAGTGCCCCATCATTGGTGTCAGTGGGAGGAATAGTGCTCCATCATTGGTATCAGTGACACCAATGATGGGGCACTATTCCTCCCACTGACACCAATTACACTTGCTGACCCTGTTCTAGTATGGTGCTGCTGCAGCCAGCATATGTGGTTGCAGCAGCACCTCTACAGTGAACACTTACCTGCTGCTCCTGCACTCGATTTTCGCGGGGCCCGCTCGGCTCCGCCCCCTCGCCGGTGATTGGCCGCCTGTGTGCCTTTCCTGAGCTACAGTTCTGGCGGCCAATCACCGGTGAGGAGGCAGAGCCGAGCAGTGCGCGAACATCCAGTGGCCGAACTGAAGGAGCAGCCGAGCTTCCTGGACCAGATCGTCGTGGGACCGGAGCCAGGTAAGAAACAGCCCCTGCCCACCCCTGTACTTAGTGTCCCTTCCGTTGGAAGGGGGGGGGCGGCGGCACTGCGCCGCCCCCCTAAAAAGTGTCAGTATGCCGTATACCGGCGTATAAGACGACCCCCGACTTTTGAGAAGATTTTCAAGGGGTAAAAAGTCGTCTTATACGCCGGCAAATACGGTATATTTGCTTTGGAAGAATAAATCACCTCTAATGTTGGGTGTCCTACATGTGTGGATGTTGCTGTGTTATATAAAACTATTAGAATAGTTTTTCACATTTTAGAATGGGGTGCCTCAAGACTGTCCATAATTTTAAAGGGTGCCTCGGGACTGTCCATAATTTTAAAGGGTGCCTTGACTGAAAAATGGTTGAGAAGCTCTGGTCTAAATATATGTATATAAATGTTTTTTGCAGGTGTGTTTTTTGGTACTTGCTTTTCCAACATATTCAGCATTGCCGGTCACTAGGTACATGTAGCAGGTTTTTGTTTGAGATATGGCACTCACTTTAGTATGCAGAACCCAAAGGGATTTTCTGATTTTAGCAAGAAAATGGAAAATCTTCCATTTGTTGGCTGTTACAGACCAGCTGAGTTTACATTCTGATTAGCATCAGAGCTGCTGCTATTAGTTACAGCCCAATAGGTCTTAGCCTGTAGTTCACAACCACAGCCTCAGCAAAGCCTGTGAGAGCAGGGAGAGCCGCTACAAAAGGGGTATAGTGCTGGATTGGGAGAGTGTTTAAGTAACAATAAGGGGGATTGAGGAGACGATACTAATACCTAAACATTGTTTACCCTAATGCAGGGAATGCATTAAGGTAAAAAATGTTTAGGCTTTAAAACCACTTTATCTCAAGCTTCATATTTCAACATAATAAATTTCTGTAAACATACTGTACCTTGTGTAACGATCCTTTGTTCCATCCTTTAATTTCCCTGAAGTTTTGTGGTTCAAATGTGCTTTTCTTGAGCCTTAAGAGAAATAATTTGGTAAAACTTCAAATTATTGTTTTCCCACCCAAATATACTTTCAGTGTAGTGTCAGGCTAGTGGAAATATGTCGTATTCAGTTATGCAATGCATTCTACTGTGAAGTCTTGCATTCTGAAACATCCATATTTGTGTACCCTCCGATTGCATAAGCAACCTTTCTCAACCAGGGTTCTTCTAGAGGTTACTAGGGGTTCCTTGAGCAATTTCTACCTCTTAAATAAGTCACCACTGCCACCAATGATCTTTTCAGCTTTCTATAAGAGGAAATTCTTCCCGCTGACTACAAATGTAAGGAGCAATCACCCCTCAACCATCACACTAACGTACTGTGGGTTTTAGACTTAGTAAGTACTTGCAGGGATTCCATGTGACCAGAAAGTTATTTCAGGGGTTCCTACACATTAAAAAGGGTTGAAAAAGGCTGGCATTAAGACACTTGATTCTCTTTTATACTTCTACAAAGAATGAAATCTTGTGAGGCTTCAGACATCATTGCACCCCTCAACTAACACAAGAACTAGGAGCTTACTCTGTATTAACCAACTACCTAGGGCTTTGCTTAAAGCTGAATTCAATAAACATGGGTGGGACTAGATCCCCATATTCCAGATCATAATACAGGTAAGGTTTATACATATTTTGCTTAAGAGAAGGAGTAATATAAATCTTACAACCAGGTTGTCATTTGCCAAGGTCTTCTTTTACACTGAAAGTCCAGCACAGTCCCAACATACCTGGTGTGAATGGGCCCTAAAAGATTTCACTGCCTAAAGCTGAACTTCAGGGGGAAAAAATCCTCCTTTACAGGGAAGCTGCAAGGGTTAATGCTCGTTTGGGTCTGGGCAGGGGGTAAAAAGCTTTTTTACTCACCTGATCCTCTGCTGCCTCCATGCTGCAAGATCGGTCCTAGCAGTCTCTTTCCTCCTATGCTTTGGTGGTTGGATGCCCTTTGACATCATCAAGACCAATGCAAAACCCATAGCCTCACACTGGACAGGAGGACATAAGTATAGTTCAACGCCGAAGAGTAGGTAGTAGAAGAGGGAGCCGGCTGCATGGGAAGAGGAGGACTGGGTAAGTAACGGTACCTTTTGTGGTGCCCTAGACATAAATGAGTATTGAGCAGTGTGGGAGCTACCCCTCTGTAAGGGGATGCTCTGTTCTCCCTTGAGGTGACATTAAAAGTTTTATACAATGTGGTTGTAGGAGTGCGCATGCGCAGGTGGCCGGAGCAGATGTCCTGCTGACCGCTCTGCACAATCCCGGCGCTTCAAGAGCAAACGTTAGTGGCCCCAGGTCACCTGCACCCAAGGCCATCAAGGCATACATCCAATGCCCACCCGACCGGCCAGAAAGTCCGCAGACAGATCCCACAACACATTTTAAGGAGCGAGCAGGGGAGGCAAGATGGCACCCCGCTCCAGCTCCAAGGCCTCTTCTGCTGCTACAAGATCACAGCAGCGCTCGCAGGGGACTGCACTTTCTCCATCTGACCCTGGATGCCAGGATGACAGCTCCTCTGCAGCCATGGCTCATGTGAGTAATTCTTCTGCACCTCCTGGCTCTCTTTGTAGTCATCCCAGATATCCATCACAGGCTGCAAGCCTCTCTCCGTGCCATGATTCCCAAACTTCCTCCCTACTAGACAGGGAGATTGAGGATATTTTCATTAGTCAAACAGGCAGCTAAGATTCCGCACATGATGGTCCAGAGGCCTCTCTGCACTTCCTCCTGCACCTCCGCATTATTCTGGGGATTCCATACTTATTGCACGTTTTGCTGATTTATTGCAGTGAGAACTGGATAAAGCTACCACTAAATTGGCCTCCGACCTGAAACAGGATTTTCAGGAATTGGGTGATCGCCTCGAGAAAATTTAATCTAAAGTTAATGATACAGTCCACAGAGTGACTCAAAATTCTAGCATGATTGCCAACTTACAGGATCGCTTAGATGAGGCTTACAATAAAATAGATGATCTTGAGAATCGCGCCAGGTGG